ATATATATATATATATATATATGTGTGTGTGTTGCTTGATTAAAAAAAGTATTTCACATTTAAATATCTATTTTCTAAATAATTACAGTGAAACAGAAGCATTCTTCTCTTTTATTTTGTTCTTTTACAAGATTTTTCAAACTAGGCCTGCAACTAATGATTGTTTAGCAAATAAATTAATCTGTTGACTTTTTTCAAATAATAATCGGATAGCCAAATGTTCCTTAAAGAAGATTTTTTACAGAATGAAACCAGGTCAAACTAAAACTTTTCCAGAAGAAAAAGGTTTTTTAGTTTTAAAAGCAAAATATTGATTTATATTTTTACAGATTTCTTATAATTCCTGCTCTGATTGGGTCGATCTGTCAGCTAAAGGCATGTTTTAGTCTCTATACTCGAGCTAACTGTCATGTTCGTTAACCTGTTAGCTAATTGCTCGCTTCACTCACCTGCCGAACCCTCCCCGGTCACTAATTATCATTAATCTCATCCACCTGCTCCTCCTGCTCTATACAAGGCTCAGCCCAACTATTGGGGAGCAAGGGCAAAGCTAGATGGGGGGCCAGGGGGGGCCAACCATTCGTTGACCTCCCCTACCATTTTTTTCCGGAGGCAGCAATAATACTCTCAAGGGAAATATTCAAAACATTTCAATTTTTCATACATTAACAATTACTTTACAAGAAAAACACTGTGGTTAATTATGCGCATCAATATCCTAACATTAAAGATATTTATTCAACTTTATGCAGAATAATTACTGATAAAAGTAGGTAAGTAATGACAATAGAAAAGATGTTCGCCCAGAACTCAAACCTGAAAGAATTTTATATATCTTATATCTAGAAAGCATGAATATTTGACTATATTTGTCAGCAAAGGCTGTAGGAAAGTATAGTTTGTCTTAATTAGAAAATATGGATGTTTTGCTCGTTAATTTTCCTGTTGGAACAGTGGAGATTAGCCCAGAGGTTCTGGTGCCTATCTATTTTCGCGACCCCCCCCCCCTCAGTGTTCATTGGTTATTGCCTGGACACCCTTATTCAAATTTTCTGGTTACGCCTCAGTTTGTGCTTTTGAGTTTTAACTAGATTCCTTAGTACAAGTTTTTGCTCTCAGAGAACAGTTGGTGTTTGAGGATGTTAGACTTAGACAGATTTGTCATTTTGTTAAAGGACTAGTACACCCAAAACATGATTAGCCTTCATTTTCTACTCACCCCCATGCTGAACAACACTCTGGAGTACTTTTTTGATATCTCAAATGCA